GTCCGCCGCGAAGTGCAGCGCCGTCCACCCGCCCTTGTCCTGCGGACGACGCGCGCCGTCAACTGGCGAGGGCTGCTTCGGGGCGAGGCTATTACTTAAGGCAGTACTCCGGTGTGTGTGTGTTTATATTTCGGGTAGTGGCGCCGGGTTGGAACTTATGATTTGGTATCGATTAACGCGTCTGCTTCGGGTTTTTTCTCTCAAAGTATTTTCTCTTGTGTGGAGAAAGTCTTAGCGGGGATAAGCTCTACCGTCCCCACTGGTCTCTCGGCATGTGTGATAGTTTAGTTCATGTAAAAGTGTGTGTGTGTGTGTGTGTGTGTGTGTGTGTGCAAAAAATACAGGCACTCTATTTTTTCTAATAAAAAGATTATTTTCGAAAACCTCTGTGTTAAAATGTGTGCAAAGGCCTAAAGTTTTACCTCCTATTTTCAATGCAGTTACTATGAATAGTTTCCGAGAAAAGGAAACACGCAATCCGTCAAATGAACACGGGAGGGACAGGGCCTTCCGATCGGCCGCGGGCGGCGCGGGCGCGTACCTTGGCGTGGACGTCGGCGCCGCGGCGCAGCAGCGCGCGCACGCAGTCGAGGTGGCCGTGCCACGCGGCCTTGTGCAGGGGCTTCCAGCCGCGCAGGTCCTTGCGCTCGGCGTCCGCCCCGCGCGCCAGCAGCGCCTCCAGGCAGCCGGCGTGGCCGCGGTCCGCCGCCAGGCACAGCGCCGACCGGCCCTCCGTGTCCAGCGCGCCGGCGTCGGCGCCGCCCTCCAGCAGCACCTGTGCGCGCCACGCACTTACTGTTAGCCATCGACATGAGTTAAACCGTCGATGTGTTAAAGCATAACGTTTTCAACATCGACGTTTTGTATTCGATTGAATGCTTAGTCATTTCCGGAGCGTCAACTTCTAATACCGTTAGCCCCGTTAGTTAGGTGCATGTTTCTCTCCTCTAGGGGTGGCAGTGATATTTCCCCGCTAGATGGCGAGATCCGACGCCGACCTACGTTGGCTAGTGGGGTTTACCCCAACCAGGTATCTCCCGCCACCAGGGCACCGCGCCAGTCGGGACAAGCTCCGGCCGGTCTCCCGGCATGTGTAGTAGTGCAGAGCATGTTGGTGTATTTAGGTAAGAGATAAGTGTAGGACAAGGAAAAGGAAGGAAATATCGCGCGCGGTCTGTGGCCCGTTTTTCACAGTACTAATCCGGCATTCGCCTGTTGTTGATCGGACAAGCCACGGAAAACTACCGATCAGGGCAGCCAGACGCTAAACTTCGCCTCCAGACAGCGACTAAACTCGACTTAGCAATCTAGCTATTGTTCAAAATCCTCCCACTGTTGGGACTCCAACCTTGGGCTTTTCGGTCGAAGGTACAGCAGTGACATCCCTTGATGACCTGAGCAACCTTCCCCGGTTTTGCATTAGATGTATGTTTTACGAGTGGAAATACTACCTCAAGAGAGTCTCTTGGCGTCTCTCTTAAGGTAATTTAAATAAGAACCCTTTAAGTCAAACACCAAGCAAATATATTATTCGTGAATTCATGTAACTAAAATAAATTGACAAATGCTACCTTCTCCACTTCTGCGGTATCTTGTTTCTTACTTGAGACCAACTGATTAATTTGTGAAGTCGTAGGCTTCCGCTACCAGAGTCTAGATCTTGGCTGTCCGGGTCTGCATACCAGCTCTGAGGAAGACCATGAGAACATGATCGAAACGTCGGCAACCCAGCCTTCGACACGGCGGTACAACGGCATAGCACGTCACCCGGGCAACCCATTAATTTGCTGAAGTTCTTTCCTCAAGGTTTCGCCAAATTTCCAATACCCTGAAGTCGCTATTAAATGTTTTTTAAAACCAGAATATCACGCTAATATTTTCGGCCGACAGTCAGGGGTCCATTTTGTAGCGAATTCGACCTCCCTCATCAAACTCTCGTCTACAATAACGCTTCACCGACGCTTCATCCCTCAATTGTTCTTCCCTATGCGTTCATACAACTCACATTAAATTTGATATTTTAATTTCGTAACAGTATGCTACATAGTGGTAGTAATAAGTCAGATTATGTATAATACTAAAGTAACATCCACGTCCAAGGTGGGATTCAACCCCGCAGCAAGCGGCTGCTGCCCGTAACCACTGTTACGCGCTCCTGCAACACCGCAGAAATAGTTATTGCGGTTTCTCACCGCATGTTGCATTTCAAATACTCTTGCGACGTGTTCTAGGAATGTCTTGCCGTTCTCTTTCCTGCGTTTATGCTTTTGAGTCTCTGGGTGCTGAGTTAACTTCCAGCACGATTTTACTTTCAGACATATATTACTAATTTCAAAAATAAACGTAAATCTATGCAGCTTCAGGCTAGTGTCGATAGATACTGAGGAACCCAGGGAAAATCCAAAAACAAAGAAACATTTTCAATTTTGACTCAAATTGAAATTGTTTGATTGTGTTATTCCGCTTGATCTCATACTGCGTCTACCGACTGAATTACATTCCGTGCGACACTGCTTACACCTCAGCTGGCATCTTACGAAAGCAAGGCTCCAAGCCAGAGGAAACTCGCTATTAAATACTCGTATTTGCTACCACGTTTTGCGTTATGAAACAGCAACTTTTTTACATTAGTATGTAAAGAACAGCTATTCTGTGTAACCCTGTCCACTGTAATATTCGTGAAGACTGCTTTTTTTAAAAAGACTGTTTTTGTTACGTTTCCATTTGAAAGTACTTTATTTGTTGTTCCTGAGCAGAGTGCATGCAACCTTTTAGGAAACCATTTAAGTGGTTTTGTTGAACATAATTTTCTCAGCTGCATGCCGTTTGCGTGTGTATACTTTCAGCACCTTCTAATATTGCCGCAATGAGACCGGCGTAAGAGTGAGAGATCGCTTTGTATAATGAAATATAATTTTGAAGATAAAAAAATTGTTTAAGTTTGACCAATTTATTTGAAAGTCTATGAAATTCGAAAATTACTATTTTACATTATTAAAAAATGCGCATATTGTTTCTAATCTCTTTTATTTAAAATTCAGAAAGTATATTTTCTCAGCATTATTCGATGGTATTCGGGAAATGAGATAATTTCAATAAAACTGATCTTGAAGAATGGTGGGAATAAAATGTCGTGTGATCTCTGTTACGGAATATTTCAAAAATATCATATTGTGTGCATTTGGTATTTGGAGACGAATTACTCCGACTTTTGCCAGCTAGCGATATTTCCTGACCTGTACCACGTTTTTATTTATTATTCACATCTCTGAGTAAGGAGATCAGCAACGGCTATCACTGCATCTAGCTTATTTGGCTTGCCTGGCCCTTTATTTCATCACACAGCAATCGCAACAGAGATTATTTATATTTGAAATCTGCGGCTTCTGTTTGGCCCGGCCGAGAATCGAACCTAGACCTGACTTACGGAAAGCTAACACGGTATCTATAACCCAAAAATATTAAGTTCACGATATTTTAATTGTAGATTTGTAATGAAGATCATATGTTTTGTCATATAACTCACAAGCAAATAAATACGCCTTCATAAAGAAATGTAATGGCTTCCTTTACTCGAACACCACGAGTATTTTGCATAGTTAACCTTTAATAATGACTGTCATTCACTTCTCCTCATAACCAGCACACAAGTTGAGAAATTTCATCCAACTTTGCATGAACTTAACAAAACTCTCCGCGAGGATTTCCTGGCAGAGAAAATCACCTTAGAGATCTCAACCTTTCAACACTTCAGACTTCAATCTCAACTTCAAAACAAGCAGCCACAGCATCTTTATCTACAAGCTGAGTCTGAGAAAATGTCCTAATAGATTATTTTTAATAGTGTTTGAGTTTATGCAACCGAGCGCGTGGCAGTTTGTTTTCGCCAATCCCAATGGTAACTGCGTATTTATTTAGCACGCATGTAACGCCATACTTATTTTGGGGATCTTAGCTCTTTTATTAGGTGGAAATGAAAGGAGGATCAAACAAATGAGTTGCATTATTGTTAATTGTAACAAAACATACCGTATACTTTCCCGTATATACACTATTATTATACGTATATACACTATATACACCGTATTTGTGAGTTAATGTGCTTGAAATAACTTCTAATGACGTTTTTCGGAAACTCAAACATTTTCTGTAAAAAAAAAAAAGCTTCAAATTTCGAATTTACTTTGGGCGGCTTGAGATAGCAGTTGGCAAGAGTATGTGGCAAGTCCCAATAGCTTGTCGAGACCAAAGGAAATAGTACACTAATACAGGAAAGTTTATGCGAGTTTGTGTAGCACCACTAGTTTAATTTCCTGGCGCGTCGACTCCACTGGGTTAAGTGCATGTTATATCCCTGCAGGAGGCTGACTTTCTTCCCCGGTGGATCGGAAATAAATCGCGTGAGCCGTGTTCCGTTTGTTAAGGTACTGGTCGGCATTCGTCTGGTACTGATCGAAGGAACCACGAAAAATATTAGGCTAGCCGGCTGCTAGAACCCCCTCACGATAACGTGTGAATTCAACGTAGGTAGCAAACTTGTGTCGGAAGTCCGCCTTCGAACCGCGAATCCTAGGACTTTCCGGCCATAAATGTGTAGTGTCAATCGTTGTTTCCTTGAGCATGTAAGCCAGTAAAGAAATAAAATGTTCCCAAAACACAATATGTTACTTGCAAGCGTGTTCGTGATTCTGAAATACTCGTATGGAACAGAAAGCACCATGAAGTGAATGCACTATCTAGAAAATGTTGAAGGTTCGCATAAAAGTTGTGGGTTATCACAATGTTGTCCCGACCTGTTAAAAAGGCACTATTGTTTTTAAAGTTTTTATGCAGCATTTCATACTAATTGGATCAGAGCAAACATTCTGCCATTTGTATAAATGAAAATAGCTTCGTACTGAAACTCCACTTCGAAGGGCTAATTACGTGAACTACACATTACAATATCATTGCATTAGTAATCTTGCTACCTAATGCTAAAAATTGTTCCAACAACAATTGCAATCAACTTGTGCACCTTATTTCGCTGCGATTACCTTAAACAATTCACAACACTAAATGATTTATTTCTCTTTAATCCCATGTGAAACGTCAGGTTGTACGTTCTTTAACGATAAATAAATCAATAAATGAATTAATTGGACTCAAATAGGGCGTGGGAATTCATTCGCATATTTCTCAGTTCATTAGCAACTAGAATTATTTAGACCTGTGCGATTAAATTGCCAATCAATTTAATTTTACACAGACTTCACCTTTCTGACCATCCGTATTACATAGTAGGGGGTCGCAAAAGAGCTAAATCTCCATAAATATATTAAAAGGTACAGAGACATCTCTTTTTGTGTATACTATACGTCTTTAGGTTACATTATGACTTGAGATATCAGTACTTAATTCGGACGCAAAACAGGACTTTAAGGCCTTAGAAAAGACGGATTCAGAATTATGAACAGTGCAATCGTATGTGCTCAGGTTGATTTCTTTTTAGCATCATGTACAAAATTCAAAATATTGTCTTCTGAAATCTGTTTCTCATACCGCCAATTCCTACCCGTTAGGAGCTCATATATGGAGTTTTGTACTGTCGAAGGCTTGAAAGCGTACAAAACAGCATCTTTCGCAAACAAGCATCTTTCGTTGGAATGTTATAAAAGACACTGGAAAGATTGCTAACGGTTTAATGACTATCTATGAATCTGCATGGTGCATTTTATTTAAAAAAACTTCAATATCTCACTATCATCAGATTCCTTATTTCGTGAGCCAATACCACAGAAGTCAAATGTGAATGACATCTACTTTAGTAGATATTATCAACTGCTTCAACGAAATGTTAATGTAAAAACGCCAACGACGTCCCAGCTTCTCGAGGAACTTTTTCGTAGAATTAAGAACCCCGGAAAAGTGGATAATCATTATGTAGAAGCCACGTGGCTTTCATTGAGTCTCTCTTGAGTGGTTGCATTCAGATAGAATCCTCGCCGCATAAATTGATGGCTTTCTTATCGTAGTACGTTGCATATTGACGAAGTTTCTGGGGGATAGGATGTGCGGTAATGTTAACCGCAGTAAAACCGTGGCGAAAACCACTCGGTTGCGTACATGGCGGTTAGGGAGGGTATAAACCGAACTAGTTGTTCCACAGGAAGAAGGAGAAGGAAGCATAAACTGCGATAATCGTCTTGCCGTGGCGAAGAGACCGGAAGAAACTGTTGAATGGGAGGTCAATGTTTAGTCAATTTTCTTTAAAAAATCACATTTCACGTTCGTTATTATTAGTTTCTTCAAAACTCACGAATTAAATATTCAGAAACTAGGCTTTCTTTTAAAATAATCAACTCAACAAAAACATGGATTCTACCGAATATATTATTTTGGATAATGGATCAGTTTATCGATAGCAGTTTGGTTACAAATTGGATATTTCGTATTACGTCATGAGCAATCAATTCAATTATAATTACTTAACAAATTACCTGCAATCAGAACATTACACTAGGCTACGTTCTGACCCCAACTAATTGTGTTTCACTACAAGGAGACTAATACATTTATTGTATAAAAAATATTAGAACCATTCTCGACTCTCCGAATAACATTTCACACCATTTTCCTGATAAAAAGAGACAATCCTCGGGAGGAAATAATATTTTATTACTTTAAATTTCGTACTAAAGCTACCTTAAGAGAAAGATAATCACAATGTACAAGTTCTTTTGTACACGTTTTTTCTGACACACTGATTATTAAAGCAGTTTCAACTAGTAAAATCGTACTAAATGAAAAATTCATTATTGGTACCTTCCTTAGTTTTCTTCAGATCTTATTTTGCAAGACAAGTAAGGGATTTAATTATCTAGACTCCAAAACTACAAAGTGAAATAAGTTGCTCGCTTGCCAAAGCAATTTGTTTCTTTTACAAGGGAGCGAATACTTTTAGTTACTAAATGTTGCTAACAAGTCGGCATGCTATTTTTAATTCCATAATAACAACGGATGTTCATAAAGAGAAAGAGACGGGGAAAGAGGTTCCCTTCATTTAGGAAACTGCCCCTGTGGAAACTGTCCCGCCTCACCGGGACAAATACTAGGAGGGAATAAAAAATAAAAGGGGAGAAGAGGAGCGAATGAAGAAAAAAAGGCGAAAATAAGATGGCAAGAAGAGGAGATGCGAGAAGACGGCGTGACGAAGAGGGGGAGC